CGTATTCCGAGAGTCCGGGCTTATTATATTGTACATAATCAATTTATTTGATTTATTTGATTTATTTGAATTTATTTGATTTATTTGAATTTATTTGAATTTATTTGAATTTTATTTGAATTTATTTGAATTTATTTGTCAAGCCCCGATCCATCACGGGACCTCATATAATATCAATTCTTGAAAGACAATAGGTGATTTACCTCAATGATATCCAACATTGATCAATACATCAATACCCGTTAATACCCGTCATATCAAGAATTATTAAGTGATGGGACCTTTGACTCTGGAACCAGTTGAGTCAATATTTTTGAGTTAATATCTGAGTCAATATTTGCGGCGAGAAAATTATAATAAAACAAAAAAAAAAACCAGACAATTCGAACAATGTGATAATTAATTCTTTTTTGATTTTATTATTGGCGAAAAAAAAAAAAAAATTCTTGAGAAGTATGGATGTATAGATGTATAGATGTACGAATGTACGAATGTACGAATGTATGAATGTATGAATGTATGAGACGTGGAGAATGATACTTTAAGGACCCTGGGTCGAAATATTTTCAAGAAAAAAATGCTATGTACATATGTAAAAACGCCGAAAATTGTTCACATAATAGTTTCCTTATTTTTATGCACCGGATTAATGAAGGCTAGTGGCCTCCAGATCAATAGTAATTGATGCAGTTGAGTATAGATAGAGTCAAGATCTCTTTTTTATGTAGCACAACCATGCGCATGTCTATAAACAATATAATAGTTACTTTAGTCTGAATTAAATACAAAACGCCATTCCTTCTCAGATATGAATGTGTGGCGGTGGGTCTTGTATTTGCTATTCTTTGAAATTTTTTCATGAATATAATTTATTGTGAAATCCGCATACGTGTCATAATTAATAACTACAATGTGATTACCCTGGATGGTGTCAGACAGGCTATAGAAGTGCCAAGAATATCAATACTAATACACAACACTGTATTCCTGCGGCTGATTGAATAATCGAATAATTGAATATATATTAATTTGAGTATAAACTTGAATATATACGTATTAATTTGAGTATTAAACTTGAATAATCGAATAGAATAATCAAATATATAATATACATATATTTTATTTATAAATAGCATTGACTGAAGTTCATTAATTAAAATTAATAATATACTGTATGTATAAATGCGTTTAGAAAAAAAATTTTTTTTTTTTAGTGTAGTTAGTATGTACTTAGTATACTTAGTGTGTATTTAATGTGTATTTAGTGTGTATTTAATGTGTATTTAGTGTGTATTTAGTGTGTACTTAGTGTGTACTTAGTGTGTATTAAAGTCGGACATTTATTTCAAGTACAATTTATAGTACCTGCATGTTATTTAATGGAATAAGAATATTTTCAATTTTTTAATTATACATATTTTATTTATTTATTTATAAATTTATTTATATATTTATTTATTTATTTTATTCATTTTATTTATTTATCTATCTTATAATATAAACTCCTATGAAAACTGTCAATTTTTTTTAGAGTAACGATTGACAGGCCAACGACTGTTTTTCATGTAGAAAGAAAATCAACAAAATAATAAAATCTTTTTCCTCAACAAGTAAAGTAAATGTGCGTGAGTAAAGTGGTGTAGGACAACCATAAGGATAATTGACGACCGATTTTAAACTGAAAGAGGAAAACCATTATAAAAAAAGTTGGTTTAAATCAATTTATATTAGTTTATAAAAAAAATTTTTTTAATAATTTGTTATAAAAAGGAGTCACCTCCCACGTTCGAACTTTGTCTTTTGCTTTTTGAGCATTGGTGAGACCGCCTCCAGTCTCCGCCTCTGATCTTTCATGAACCCGTTTTTAAATCTTTATTCATGACGTCCTTGTTATTGTTAAAAGTATATATTGGATCCTTTGTTTAATGACATTATTTACATTATTCATGAACTTTTATAGTACCGAATTTTTATGATTTATGTCCCATAAATTACATAATATTTTTCAATCTCATTTCACATCTTTTTTTTCCTTATCTTAAGGAAAAAAAATCTTACGACTTTATTTTCACCTATGATCAATCAAATATATGTTAACAATACATGAGTATTGAAAAATTATAAAAATTATATTTAATTTATTTAAATATACTTTTAACCAATTTACCATTTTCGTCCATTTATATATAAACAATACAATTAAAATTTCCAATTAACGGGTTCTCGAAAAAAAAAACTATATATATAAAGACTTTTGACCCACAAAATTCTTATCTTACTTACCATCAAGTTCCATAAAGCTCAAAAAAAAATATTTTTTAAAAAATATTATAACAAAAATCTATCTATATATACATACATATATATATATATATATATATATTTTCACAATTCAATTCGATCATAATGAATTTCCAACAGGAAACTAAAAGTTCTACAACTACGAGTATAAATCATATTCATTCTGTTGGAATCATTAATAATGATTCTTTGAATATTTCTCCTGTTCACCCAAACACCGTTCAAATTTCAACTATCCTTCGTAAGCGACGAAATACTCTCCATATACTTATTCATTCGACTATGCAATTGCTCTCTTCTCCTGTAACATCCCCAACCTCAATTAGCCCTCCGAACTTTGTTAAGCAAGACTCTTGTTCTTCACCTTCTATCATTTCAAATGAGTCATCATATGTCTCTTTTCCTGAATTTGAGACTTATGATTATAATGACCTTGAAGGTGTTAATGAAATAAGTGTCGAAAATACATTTGTTCAAATGGAGCAATTTGATGAAATGTTCGTAAACGGTGTTCGGGTTCCCTCTGCCCATCTTGCCTAAATGAGGAAATTAAAATAAACAATTGCACCTAAATCCAGCGAGAATTATTATGACTTATTTAAGACATTTTAAGCTACTTTAAGATTTTTTTTGAGAGAAAAAAAAAAACAAAAAAAAAAAAACAAAAAAATCTCACTATTTTTTCGGAAAGGGGAAGAAAACTGGGTTTCTGGTTTTCTTTTAATTATTACAACTCTTTTTTTTTTTAAGACGATGTCAAATCGTATTATATATATCTATTATATATATATGATTCGAATCCAGAAATTTTTTCATTTATCACGCATGACAAACAGAAAAAACGGAAGAAAAAAATCACTTTGGGATAAGTTTTTTTTCCTACTCATCCGACAATCCGATAATCCTCGCCTTTTAAAGACGAACGATGGATATACTTCCTCGATTCATTTTTTTCGAATTCGATTTATTTCATATATTCGATGAAATTATATTTTTCGAAAAATCAAGCGTTGGATAAAAATCGTCGTATTGATGTAGGAAAAAAAAATTCTTTTTCACCGAACAATAATCTTTGTGCATTCAAAAAAACCGTTGGACAATCGAGTATATGTACGCGTACAATATCTCGAAACTCGATTAATTTCTAGACTTACTCGGGAAATGGAAGAAACAAGGAAAGAATGATTTTTTTTTTTAATGGAACGAACGAACAACGATTTTCAAATGAAAATCTTTTATATCGTAAAAACGAACGAACGAACAAACGAGTTTATCAAACGGATAATTTTTATTATCCATGTTAATGATGGAAGAAAATTAATTTCTTAAAATACTATTCGGAAAATAGAGAAGCGCAATATTTATCGTCCAATCTCTTTAGTAAATTAGCTCTTAAGACAATAATTTTTCTAAATCGAGCTTTTTATTATTGTATATATATTTCAGACAACATATGTCGTCTGTCAATTTTGTCGAATCTAGCTTTTAACATTTCTCGTATTTTTTTTTCGATTATATTTTTATTTTTATTTAACGCGTTCACATGTGAGAAAATTGAATTTTTTTATATTTTGTACTTTTCGTTGTGTTGTGTTCTATTTTTTTTTTTTGTAAATATATATATATATATTTTTAAATATTTTTTTTTTCTGATTTTTATTGTTATTTTTGTTTTATTTTTTTTCGTAACATGTTTAACCATTCTTTTGAATTTTTTTGAATTTTCATTTCTTTTTTTTTCTTTTTTTTAAAAAAAAATAAATCTATAAGAGGAACAAGAAATCAACATTTTTAAGATTTTGTATAATAAATAAAAAAAAAAAAAAAACTTGTAACTTATGTAAATGTGTTATGAAAATTCTTGAAAAAGCTCACGTGCTTAAAACGTGTAAATGAACTAGGCAAGAAAATTTGACAAAAATTGACGCGCTGTTCGCGATTAGAATGCTAGAAAAAAATTATTTTTTTACAGTATTTTTTATGACTGAACTAACAAAGTAATGATCTTCGTTACTCGACTTTTTTGGTATGGTCCAAATGCGAATTATTTTTTTTTTTGCTTTTGCATCTTGTATGCAAACGTGGAATGTAAATATACTTTTGAAAAAGATAACGTGTTAAAAAGAATTGAGGGATTCATTCAAGGAGGAAATTTATTATCGTTATTATATTAAACCGATATTTTAAAATCAAGTTAATTTCAAGATTTGAACACGTTTTTAGTAAGCACGTCCATGTGGGGGTTTCGAAAGGAGTATTTTTAAAACTTTTTGTTGGTTAAATTTGGAGTAGTCGATTTGTATAATTTTAATAATTTTAATAATTTTAGGTATCCTGGCTAGTAGACCAACACTAATTATAATGCTGGTCAATTTTTTTGTTATTTCTATCGTTATAACGATAATATCGTTACACATCACTGAACCGTAGTTTTGTAGTAATTATTGTTTATTATACTATGACACTATACTATTACACTATACTATGACACTATACTATGACACTATACTATGACACAATATTATAACACTATACTATGACACAATACACACACATTTCTTTTAAAGATGATTTTCTTTCCGCCATGTGTTATTTCCCCGTTTATCCCGTTTATTTTTTAACCGGGAAATAATGTTTTAAATAAATGGATCACCAGTACCCTGACCACGGCGAAACAAATGTATGGTTCACTAGTTAATAATCTATATAACCTATATGGTCTATCCAATTACTAAAAATAACTTTTAATAATTGGTAAAGTTGAAACGAAAAAAATTTATGATCACTATCGACATTATCATCATTATGGACAATTTTAAAAATATCTTAAATATCAAAAATAGTTAGATCTTTAGAACAATTTAAAATTTTGAAAAACTAAATATATAATAACAAAATTTTATTTGATGATCAACTAATCTTTTTTTAAAAATGAAATTATTTTTTAGTAATGAATATCGGTGGTTAAGATTAAAAATAAATTTTGAAACTATATGATCTATCATGCTGATTACGTATTACGTAGATCCTTTTTTTTTCTTCTTTAAATTTTAACCTAGCCCTTTTTGATTTATAAAGTATCGTTAATAGAATTCTAATATTAGTTAGTTTAATTAACTAAAATATGAACTTTAGGAATAATTACTCGATTATTAATCTTTTTTTCTTTATTATGATCTCTTTGCAAAAAAGAAAACAAAATAAAATCCACTTGTGATTGGAATTCTAAAAAAAAAAAGTCTTTTAACCGTTAATATCGGTCATGTCATATACTTATTTAAATTAGAAAATTTTTTATTGATTATCATATAATTTTCTATTATTAAAAAAGAACTTGACTATTTTTGATACGTAATACGTATTTTTAAAAATTTTAGGATTTTCAATGTTAATACTAAATAGTTTGAAGATTCTGGTAATATTTTGGTCATGGAATCGATTATTATGAACTACCAAGCAAAGAATTTTTGAAACTAGTTTTAATTGTATTTATTACTATATATTTTGTTTTATGTAAGTTTCGTATAATTGAATCTGCGTCGGATTAAATATCTTAAGGATCTTAAACCGGTTAGATTTTACTATCGTTATATAAACTGAACTAGTTCTAGTAGTTTGATATATATTAAATTTATATTTTTGATTTTCAAAGTAGTTAAACGGTTTAACATTCCTAAAATACTTATCATAAATTACCACGAAACTTAGTATTTAAATCAAATTTTAATTTGACGTATATGTTTATACAGAGGTGAAACTAGAAGTGGAATAATAAGTATAATCGTCAAAAACTCACTAGAATTCTAAGGAACAAGAAGCGGATCAGATTAAAAGTAAAAACTGTGCTACCGAAAAAGACGCGCGGAGGAAAACACTATTTTAACATTATATAGCTGTAGGAATTCATTCCGTTGCCAAGTCACGAAAAATATTTTTTACAGCAATTCAAAAAAAAAAATTTATCAATTCGACAATTGAAAGACGAATTTAAAGAAACAGATTTGTATTTGTCATGAAAAATCTTCAAACTTGGGTTCTATAGCTTGTGGATATATAGAAGCCAGTGTATTAAATTCAATTGTATTATAAATAAAAAAAAATTATAATAAAAGTCATGTGTTAATTTGGTATAAATTTCGACAGATTGTGATCGATTACTTTAACTCTGGTCAAATTTGTAGATCATTTGGCCAGATTCGGATTTAAAAAAATTAGTGTTCCGCAGAACTGAACCGGAGAACCGGAACCGCCTGGACCCGAATAATTTCGATTCATACCCGAACGGATAATACCCGAACCTGTACATTGTATGGTTCAGTGATCATGGGTAACAAAAATCTGATAAAAGAAAAAAAAATTCTTGAGCTGATATAAAAAGAAGCTTTAGTGCATAGCATTTGTTTGCATCAAGTTATTTGATAGTTATAAAAGCTTATGAGAAATAGTCTTAACGTCCAAGCCAAAGTAATTGGCTGTTATGTTTTTCCGTTATTGCCAAACAAAAGTTTTCCACATCCAATAAAAAAAAAGTGTAAGTTAAAGTTTTTTGAAAGAATTTTGTCACGAATTATTAACCGTTGGCGTTTCTATCGTATAAGCATAAATTAAGTGAACTTGATTAATAAGACTTATAACGTTTAGATTTGGAAAAATTAAAGCCATTTAACCATGCTATTTCTAAGGTCATAATCTGTTATTACTATAAATAATGAATTATGCTTTATTTTTCATTAAAAATAATATTACAGCGCTATTTGAAAAAAAAATGTAATTTACCATTATATATTGCTTTTATGATACATACAATACATACAAAAAAAAACAAAAAATCTTTATTATGTAGTCGGTATTAGATTTCATAATTAACGTTAAAATTTTAGTAAATATCGATACAGTATATTAATTATAGGATATAATGGGTTTTAAAGAAGTTCTGATTATGTTATACATGTGACAGGTCGGGTACTGTTCTTACAGCTGTTCTCATAAATTCTAGGACAATTGAATAAAAATTGTTTCGGCCGAATTCAGTTTTTGAATTCGGTGTTATTGACATTGGATTTTCGGCATTACAGTAATGCCGATAACACTGAATTCAAAAACTTATCGAATTCGGCCGAAACAATTTTTATCAGTTGTCCCAGAATTTATAACAGCTATAATAAAAACCTAAAAACCCACCCGGAACCGGTCCGTGTGGAACACTAAAAAAAAACACTAAAAAAACTCTGAAATTGGCCAAATGATCTGCAAATTTGACCAGAGTTATAAGGGTAATCGGTTCTAATATTTGTAATAACTTCAGAACTTATATTTTAACTTTTGATTCCCATACGATTTTACTATTCTAAAAAAATATATGGACGCAATCACAAAAAACCAGAAACGTAGATTGGATTTTTTATATTAATTTTTTCCTAATATATTTGTTATGCCCAGATGTTAATTGTCATAAATTACCGGTCTAAACAAATTAATTTAGGCAGGGTGTTTAGATAAATCTTAGTAAATTTGCATCTGGACTGTCCCAATTGACGATT